TCTTTCTTTCTTTCTTTCTTTCTTTCTTTCTTTCTTTCTTTCTTTCTTTCTTTCTTTCTTTCTTTCTTTCTTTCTTCTCTCTCTCTCTTTCTCTTTCTGGCAATTTTTAGAGACGTGGTTTCTCTGTGTAGCTCTGGCTGTCCTGGGACTCTCTTTGTAGACCAGGCTGGCCTCAAACTCATAGAGATCTGCCTGCCTCTGCCTCCTGAGTACTGGAATTAAAGGCTGGAATCTAAATGGATAAAATATCTCCATCAGATTTTCCTGTAGCAAATCTGTTAAATATTGACTCTGCCCCCTTGTGCTGGGATTAAGGGGTGTGCCACCTCACTCTCAGGTTAGTTGACTGTGCCTTTATTTGCATCTCAAGATGTTAGCTCTCAATGACTGCTTCAGTACCACGCTGACCTTCCTGCTGCATGTTCCCAAAAATGATGGTCATGGACTCTAACCATCTGAAATTGTGGGCACTAGATTAAATTCTTTCTTTATAAGTTGCCTTGTTCATGGTGTTTTATAGCAATAGAAAGGGACTGAGACAGTCTTTTAAAAATTCCTCGAGGATCCATCCAGGTAATGCATTTTAATTATGGCAGGAATGAGATGAAAAAGAAAAGGGAACCATTTGCAGTCTGATGTAGTCTCTTCTTTTGGACTTTGTGAATGGATAACTGCAGTGGGATAATGCTTTAGTACACTGGTTTAATAAAATGCTGAAAGGCCAGTAGCCAGGCAGGAAGTAGAAGCTGGGTGAGAACATTAAAGGAATTCGGGCGTGGGGGAGGGCTGAGAGAGGAGACACCAGTCTGCCCTCCAGGGAGCAGCATGTAATGGCACAAAGGTAAAGCCAAGGAACACACAGAACATATAGATTAAGAGAAATGGGCTGAGTTCAAGTGTAGGAGCTAGTCAGTAGTGAGCCTGAGCTAATGGTCAAGCAGTTTTAATTAAAATTAAGCCTCTGTGTGTTTACTTGGGTCTTAGCAGCAGGACCATGGGGCCACAGAAATGGGATCAGGAAAACTTTAGCTAAAGATAAGCATACACCCACTGAGGGGTTTGCTGGCACAACTATGAAAGTTAATTGACAAGAATATACTCTATTGGAAGAATATGTGAGTGTCAAGACAAAATTCTAGTTACTTGTTTGGGGCTCTCTCTCCCAATGGTTCAGAAACCTCATATTGTTTTTTTTTAATATTTTTAATATTTCCATGTTTTGAAGACACTTTACTTTGAATTGAACAGAATAT